TTGCGTCTTCATTCATTCCCGGCTTCAGGCGGGGCGAGGTGGTGTGCTCAGTGCAGGACACTGGGGAAGCTGGGACTGTGGGCTATGTGGTATAGGTCCTGGTGGGGGGTTTCTGAAGATCCCATCCTCCCAGTCTCCTCGCTGAGCTGCCGCATGTTCGCTTTCTGGCATTGTGGGACACGTCCTCCCCCCGGTGTCTTGGCTTTCTGATGGGGGGTGAGGGAGGAAGCCTGCCTGTAGAACACAAACTGGCCGGGCGCGGTGGCTCACACCTGTAATCCCAGCACTTTGGGAGGCCGAGGCGGGCGGATCATGAGGTAAGGGGTTCGAGACCAGCCTCCAACCAGGTGAAACCCCGTCTCTACTAAAATAAAAAAATTAGCCAGGCATGGTGGTTTGTGCCTGTGATTCTAGCTACTCAGGAGGCTGAGGCAGGAGAATCTCTTGAACCTGGGAGGCAGAGGTTGAAGTGAGCCAAGATTGGGCCACTGCACTCCAGCTTAAGCAACAGAGCGAGACTCAGTCTCAAAAAATAAAAATTTTTAAAAAGACCGAAGGTTGCAGATAGTTCTGTCCACATTGTCATGCAGGCAGCCCACCGAACCAGCGTGGGGTACACATCTCCCATGGGTGGAGGCATATGAGGACTCCCAGTTACCCCACCCAGGAGGCAGTGGATCCTTGGTGTCCTCAATCTGGGAAAGGAGGACAGGCTGTGTGGGAGCCTCCCTTCCCTCCCACCCACCCTGGACCCAGCGGTCCAGGTACCCTGGCTGGCTGGGCAAAGGTGGCTGCATTCACAAACCGGCTCTGAGAGCCCAGGAGCTCAGCTGCGCCTGCTGAGTGCTTGAGTGTTGCCTAGCTGGGCTGGAGAGCCACCACCATGGCCTGGCCTCCAGCCTCATCCAACTTATGAGCCTTCCCACTCCTACTGTGGAGACCCCCTGTGTGGGGCTCCCTTGCAAGGCTTGGGATGCAGCATTTCCTCAGCTGGTGCCATCCCCTTTGCTCCACCGGAGCCTCTGAAGGGGCCATGTATTGACAAACCTAGTGACCAGAAGTGGCGTCTTGCTGCTACATTTTCAGCTTGTGGCTGAGAATGGTGGCTGCACTGCATGCTCTCAGCCCTGCCACTCAGTCCCATCTATGCCTAGCAGCTGTGCTGAGGACAGGAAAGGGGCCTCAGGGGTCACCAGGGCTGTAGGTCTAGGCTTCACTCAGCTGTCCTGGCCCCAGCCATGGCCAGGCTCCTCTCCCACCCCCCAACACATACACACTACCCCCACTGCCAGGCTGGGCTCGCTGACATCTGGAGTCACAGGCTTGCACGAGTATCTCAAGGGAGGTGCCTGCACCATTGATTGAGTCTCGATTTGTCTTCCAAGAACCAAACCAGCGCAGACCAGTTGGTCTTCCCAGGATGATGACAGTCCAGGGGACTCTTTAAACAGCATCTCCTGGGGGCCTCCAGGCCTATGCCTATGGAGCCTGTTCCCAGCACAGCAGGGAGGGGGGTGGCCACTGCTTCTCTGGGGCTTTGCTTTTTCTGTCACCATTGGGGACCTCTGAGTAGCCGTCAGCTAGCTGTGAATGTCGTCTCACGCTCGGAGTCCATCTCATTGTAATGTTGACATCCGCTGCAAAAGCTGCTGGCGCGTGCTGCTTGGCAAAGCCCCATTGTTGTCGTCAGCTGCTGGGTGAGTGGAGCTGAAGGCTGGGCCGGCCCAAACAGCTGCACTAAGGACGGGAGCCACTGCTCCTCTCCCTCCTCGTCCTGCTGCCTCTGACCCAGGCTTTTGGGTCAGCCTTCAGGGCCCATGGTTGCCACCTGCCCTTCCCTCCCTTCCCCCTGCCCTTTCCCATCCTCCGCCTGACCCACTGCCTCCCTGTTTAGGTCAGTTCTACAGCAACGGAGGGCATTCTGGGAATGCTGGTGGCGGTGGCGGCGGGGGCGGTGGTGGCTCCTCCGGCTACGGCTCCTACTACCAAGGTGACAACTACAACTCACCAGTGCCCCCAAAACACGTTGGGAAGAAGCAGCCGCACGGGGGCCAACAGAAACCCTCCTACGGCTCAGGCTACCAGTCCCACCAGGGCCAGCAGCAGTCCTACAGCCAGAGCCCCTACAGCAACTATGGCCCCCCACAGGGCAAGCAGAAGGGCTATAACCATGGACAAGGCAACTACTCCTCCTACTCGAACTCCTACAGCTCTCCCGGGGGCGGGGGCGGATCGGACTACAACTACGAGAGCAAATTCAGTGAGTTGGCTTCCAGAGCCCCTCAGCCAAGCTGGGTCCAGGCCCCAGCAGGGCAGCCCATGGAGTGGCGGAAGCTCGGCACTGCCCGGACCTCTGGCTGAGTTACTAGGCAGAGGACAAGTGGTGTTGGCTGCGGGCGGGTGCTAGGAAGATGGGGCACGGGGCCCCATGGTGCTGTTTCCGCCACTCCCTCTGGTGGTCTCTGAAGGCAGAGTTAGCTGAGGTCTCTGTGCCGAGGCCCTGGCTGTGGGTGAGGCCTCGAGGTGATCTGGGACTGGCTTTAGAGAGTTTTGCATCCAGACCCTGAAAGAGCCTGACCTCTCTGCTACCGCCTGTCCCTCTTCCTCATGCGCAGACCCAGCAGGCCGGGGCTGCACCAGTGGCCTGGTGGGGCTGAGTAGGTGTGTCCTTGGGACCCAGCAGCTATCAGCAGCAGGCCGGGGAGTTGACAGAGGCTGCGCTGGGTACGTAGGTCAGAAGGGGGTGCTGTGTGTCTGATGCTGCTGGCTAAGGAGAGGTGGCTACTGGGGTCTTGTGTGCTTCCTCAGCTGCTGCTGGGAAGCTTGGGCTACAGGGCAGATGGGAACACAATCCAGAGCAGGGCTTTGGAGCTTGGTGACCAGCCCAGCCCAGGGCCAGGTGACCCTGCAGGGCTCCAGCTGACGCCTAGCACTTGTCTGTTGGGCTGATGCGTGACATTGAAGCAGGCATGGAGAGGGATAGAGGCCCAGGGTCTGAGCTAGGGGCCGGCTGCATCCAAGTTGCACCACAAGGCCCCTGGGCCGCCCCAGTTGTGTCTTTCCTGGGGCCCCTTAACCACCCCTGTCTTCTCTCCCTCAGACTACAGTGGTAGTGGAGGCCGAAGCGGCGGGAACAGCTACGGCTCAGGCGGGGCGTCCTACAACCCAGGGTCACACGGGGGCTACGGCGGAGGTTCTGGGGGCGGCTCCTCATACCAAGGCAAACAAGGTGGGCTTGGAGCCCCGGGTGGCACAGCATGGGGGGCCCGGCAGCTGCAGTGAAGCGGGCTGTGGACCTGGTGGGAGCAGACAGCAACACAGGCAGGGCTGCAGTGGCAGGTGGGCCTTGTGAGAACACACACTCGGGTGCACTGGCAGCTGCTAAGGCTTTTGGGAGTGGCCAGTGAGCCAGCAGTGTTCCCACTCAACCCCTGGTACCTGCATGAAATGTCGGTGACTCTGAGGTCAAATAGCTGTTCCCCCTGGTTCTGGCCAGTAGCTCAGCCATGGGCTCAGGTAGCTTTCCCCAGAAATGAGGGTCACAGTGGTCCCATCTCTCAGAATCTTGGTGCCAGCCTGATCCAGTGATGTGTGGCAGGCAGGCAGAGTCGCACAGGAGCCCACGTGTCTTGCCCACCTGCATCCTGGCTGAGGCTTGGGAGTGGGCTGCCTCCCTGAGCCCCGCTGGTGGCTGGGCCCCTCGGCTCTAACTCACCACTCTCTCTCCTAGGAGGCTACTCACAGTCCAACTACAACTCCCCCGGGTCTGGCCAGAACTACAGTGGCCCTCCCAGCTCCTACCAGTCCTCACAAGGCGGCTATGGCAGAAACGCAGACCACAGCATGAACTACCAATACAGATAAGCCCCCGAGGGGCGGAGATTTCTACCTTCTGCACTTACTCCCCATCAGAAGATCGAGTTTTATGCATCACAGTTAACATGTCAGCTGGCCCTCCAGGCTCCCGCCCCCAACCCGTCCTCGTTGCTGTGTCGTGAGGTGCAGCGGGTCACCCTGTGGCCTGTCCTGTGACCCATATTTAGCCGTGTTTGGGACTCCGTGTCTTCAATGGTTTGTTAGTTGCCATTACAACTTTGTCTGGGTAGAGTTTTTGAGTTCTTGCAGTTCAGTATCCCTCTGTCTATTCACACTTGGTGTTAGTGGTAACTCAGTTTGTCTTTAAATAGTTACGGAAGGGATACGTCATCTGTTAATGCTTTTGTGAAGTGAGTTAAACGAGCTTTCTGTATTTTAATGCTTTAGTGTTTCAGTTTTATAAGTGAAGATTTTATTTTAAAAACCAGTGGGAAAGAGTGGGGGGTTTCTTTTTATGTCTGGGTCATTCAGGCAGTACATCTGAATTAAGCTGAATGTAGACAAATAAAGAAAAACAAAATTGCGCCCGTCTTAGGCCTGGGTGTCTGACCCACCAGCAGTGCGATGGGCAGGTTCCCCTGCTCTGTTCCCACTCTTGGAAAAGCAGGGTGGGCCATCAGGATGGTCCCTGGTCCCTAGAGAGGGTCCAGTTCCAGGCTTATAGACGTTTTACTCATGCTCAGCAAAGTCCGGTTCCTGGTGCCCTGGGCTGTGTAGACCCAGTGTCCCACCAGGCCCCAGGCTCCAGGCTCCCACCATCTACAGAGGGGCTTACAGTGCCCATTCTTGTGGAACTCGTGACAAAACAGGCAGGCTTTTTCTGCTCCCTGATTCTGGTGTAGTTCTGAGTATACCAGTCCTCTGTAGGGACAGGCCTGTGGTGGAACACATAATCCATTTAGAACAGAATGGGCAGGTGAGGCCTGGGTAACCGCAGCCACGGACTCTCTACTAGCTGCTGCAGCTTCAGCGTGCTCGTCGTCTGGAGGCTCACGGAGTGGGGAGTTGGGGTTCTTACACCAGCAGATTTCCCTAGAGCGTGATTCTCCCATCTGAGGCAATCTCACCTCCCAGGGGAAATTTTGCAGTGTTTGGAGGATGTTGTCACAGCTAGCGGGTGCTCTGGTATCTAGTGGACACAGGCCAAGGATGCTGGCAGGCATGCTATGCTGCCCAGAACAGTGTCTGATGACAGGGACCTGCCTTATCAAAATAGCAGGCATGCGGAGGTGGACACCCCACACCAGAGCAGCCCTTCTCAGCTCTACCCTGCCTGGGGAAGGAGGAGGAACCCTGGTTTCAGGGCAGTGCTGGGATTACCTTTTCCCAGGCTCCTTCCATGGCAGCTGTCCAGGAAGAGCTGCACTTGCTAGGCCTGGGACCACACGTCTACAGAAACCCTGCTCTGCTGGCCTGAGCCCCCGGCCTTCGCCTCCTGTGCTTGGGTAACCATGGCCACTCGGAGAAGCAAGGACCATTTTTGACTCAGAATCATCCAGCTAATGTAGAAAATCAAGTGTGCTTTCAAAGGATGCAGATTTGCTTTCTTGGAGAGGTGAAAGAACGAGTTCTGTGCTAGAAAACTTTCAAGGAAGTCTCATTTGTGTTAGAGCAGAGGAGGTCCTAGATACCACATGGCCCCTCCCAGGAAAGGCTGGGAGAAGAGGTGGCCTGAAGCACCCTGGGATCCCAGCAGCACACACAGTTGAGGGATGAGGATGAATGAGTCCCACCCCTGATTTTGATGGGAAGTGTTCATGTCCCGTCTCCTTTCCTGGACACATGAAGGGGTTGGGACAAGAAGAGACCCCTGTGAGATCAGCAGACGTTGTGCTTGAGGAGAGGATACCAGCCTGCAACACCCACGGAGAGGGACTCTTCAGGCCTTACCTGCTAAATGCCTCCAAACTCCAGGCGGGCGTCCGCATTCTCAACACAGGCCTTTCTTTACAGTTTCCTGATGAGTGACCACCACCACCACGTTCAAGTTTCGAATGCAGACCCACCACAAGGGACGGATTCCACCCGCCCGTCCTGCTGCAGATCTGCAACACAGCAGGTGTGTGTCTGGAGACAACAGCTCCTGAGCACAGTGCCCTCGGAGCCCTCACTGCACTTCAGGGGCCATGCCAGTGCTGATGATGCCGTCATGCCACTGGCCTCTGACAGTATCCTGGCTACACCAGGACGCTGGGTTCCAGAAGCTGTGGCTGTCACCTTGAGGGCTGACCGGCGGCCTTCCAAACCCAGGAAACTGACCTGCAGGAGGGCCTACTCATGGGCCCAGCAAAAATTTAGCTGGGCAACAGCTGGCTCTTGATGACACCTTGACCAATGTGCTTTGGGTGGACGGTATCCTACGTATTCAGTGGAGACCACCAGGAGCACCCGTGAGTGGGGCAGGGGCCCACACCCTTACATGATGAATTCATAGGATGGGGTGCTTGGTGGATGGGCTGTGGGGGTCTGTGACTCGGGACTGGGCCCACACCATCCCAGAGGGCTCAGGATGCCCCAGGAGGGAAAGAAGGGGAACAAACCACATGATTGGACATGTGTGGTTGGCTGGAATGATGGTGGGAGGGGCACGGCCTTGCAGGGGATTGGTGCTCATCCCAGGGAGGAAGTACTGGGGCTTGATGACCTAGGATGAAAGGGGGCCTCTGAGCCATAACAAGGGGCACATCAGAGATTTCCGCCAGCAGGCCCTGGTTGTCATTGGGCAGGGATGCAGTCAGCCCCAAGGGTTGCCACCCACTTGTGTGTGGCCCTCTGTCGTGGCAGGGAAATGTAGACCTCTTGTCTCAGCACCAACCTTCCTTGTATAGTCAGCAGGGCTGGCCCTGCCCCAGGGACTCACTGCATGTTCCCGGACCTCCAGGCCTGGCCTTTGCAGCAGAGGTGGCAGCCTCTGGATTCCATCAGCAGCTGTGAGCCCTACTCTGGCTGTGCACTGCATGGCCTGAGACCGCTGGACACAATGTTGGGCAACAACTCAGCCAGCCTGATAGCAGGTCAGATGGTCGCTCTAACCCATCCCAGAATAAACGAAGACTTCACGTGTTCATTGTTTCATTCACTCAGCGTGCGTTCGTTCTTTGTTTGAGACAGGGTCTTGCCTTGTCACCCAGGCTGAAGTACAGTAGTGACATCATAGCTCACTGTAGTCTTGAACTGGTCAGAGTTCAAGCAATCCTGCCCCCACAGCCTCTGGGAGTAGCTGGGACTACAGGGGTGTGCCTCCATACCTGACTAATTTTCTTGTAGAGGTGAGTCACGTAGCCTGGCCTTGAATTTCTGGCCTTAAGCAACCCAGCCTCTGCCTCAGCCTCCCTAGTGGCTGGGATGACAGGCAGCACCACTGCGCCTTGCTGTCATGTTTATTACTGGGTGGTGCTTATGTGTCAGGTCTGGTGCTGGTTTCTGGAAAAGCAGTGGTGAACCTGCTCCTAACCCTCATGGAGCTCCCTGGCATGTAGAGGGCTGTGTCCCCAGCTGGACAGGGAGTGCCTGTCAAGGCTTCCCCTCAGGTGAGAAACGGTAGGTGAGTTGGACCCAGAAGGAGTGTTGGGAAGGAAGAAGGAAGGTTAGGCCAGGCAGAGGGAGTAGCTTGGGCAAAAATTCAGCTGAGGGATGAAGATGCGCTTCAAGAAGCTGAAATCAAGTGGGTGGGGCATTTTGGATGCAAAGTGAAGGAAGTGAGACTGGAAGTCATTAGGATCTTGAGGGGCCCCAAGGGCAGGACCTGTCGCAGGAGTTCTTGCTGCCTTTCTAAGGACAGTGGGGAGCTATGGATGGATTCTGACATGGGAAGACCTCAGACCAATTCAGGCTTCACAACAGTATTTTCAGACGGTTTCAGCCTGCTGCCTAAGCTGGAGTGCAGTGTTGCTATCATGGCTCAGTCATCCTGGGTACCTAGGACTACAGGCCATACTGCCTGGTTAATGCTTCCTTTTTTTCAATTCCTGGCTTCATAATTGTCTCTTGAACTTCACGATGTTGGAATTGCAGTTGTGAGCCACCGCACCTTGGGACAGTTGTTTTGATTGCTTAGCCAAGTAGGTGTGTGGGAGAGGTGAGAATGGGGCCCTAGAGACAAAGGAGGCTTGAGTTCTGGAACATCAGAGCTGAGGTTTAGAGTGATTTCTGCGGCTGAGTCCACTGGTCTTGATAAGGGAACAGCTCCTAGACTCGAGGGTTAAAAACGGTATATGCAAGAATAAGGGGGTCCATCCTCATACTCAGGGAGACCAGCATTCTCTCCACTGGGTAGCCAAGAAGTCCATGAACTCCCAAGTCTTGGGGCAGTGCATTTGTCTTTTCGAAAGAGTTGGTGCCTAAGGTAATTTTGCTTGGCAACGGGCCAGTAGGTGGGTGGCAGTGTCACAGAGGGCCAGTCCCCACACGTCTGATAAATAAACTGGAGAAATCCTCCAGGCTACAGAGACGATCGCCCGAACTCGGGGCTTGCTCCAAGGACCCCTATTTCAGCAAAACCCCTAACTCCTAGAGGTTCTGTATTCCTGTCAGTGCTCAGAAGTCCGTATCCTGCCTATGTGGGTCCCAGGACCTCAGCACCCGCTCCCTAAGGCCAACCACATAGTCCCCCGTTTGGAAACCCCTGAGCAGCTGCGGGCGATCCCAGAGAAGGCAAGGTTGGGGATCCGATAGCCCCGGTCACGCACCCGGGATGCTGCGCAAGCTTCCACGTAAAGAGCGCGGAAATCGTCCCAGGACCAGCCGCTGCAAACCATCACTTCCAAACTTCCTGCCGACCTCTAGGCTCCGAGTTGCCTGTCGTCCCTTCCTTGGGCAATCAACAAGCCTTGCCTCCGGATGGGATTTCTCAGGCCTCGCCCCGAGCACCCCTGCCCTGTGTGTAAGCTCGCTTTGTCCTAAGGCCATCAAACTTTTTTTTTTTTTTTTAAAGAGTTTCTCCATGTTGGCCAGGCTGGTGTTGAACTCCCGACCTCAGGTGATCCGCTCGCCTCGGCCTCCCAAAGTGCTGGGATGTCAGGCGTGAGCCACCGCGCCCGGCCAAACTTTTTTTTTGAAACGGAGTGGAATCTCGTTCTGTCGCCAGGCTGGCGTGCAGAGGCGCGATTTCGGCTCACTGCAAAGTCGACTCCCTGGTTCAAGCGATAATCCAGCCTCAGCCTCCCGAGTACCTGGTATTACAGGGACGCGCCACCACGCCCAGTTAATTTTTGTATTTTTAGTAGAGACGGGGTTTTACCATGTTGGCCAGAATGGTGCCGACCTAGTGATCCGCCCGCCTCAGCCTCCCAAGGTGTTGGGATTACAGGCGGGAGTCACCGCGCTCGACAACAAACTCTTCTAATTGGGCGCGCTCGCAGGCCCCGCCCCCACGGAGCGCGCCACAGCGTGGAGCGCACCGCTTCTCATTGGGCGTTTGCTCAGGCTCCGACCCCTGAGCGGCTGCTTTCCTTGTCTCCAGGCAACGCCAACGGCGCTGTCCGCTGTGCTGAAGCCGCACTCCGAGCGCCGCCTCAAGTTGCAGACTCGCGGCGCCCCCAGCTCTCCTACGCGGGTGGCGCCAACAACCTAAAGCAGGGGCCACTAAGCCTCCGCTGCGCCCTGTCCCCAGTTTGCCTCTTGGTGATAGGTAGAGCCCACTTCTCTCCAAGGTGAGAAAGCCCCACCGTCCCATCCAGCTCAGAGGAAAGCCTGAGGCTTCCCACGATCTTGTGCCGTCACCTCCACATCCTCATCAGCTCCCCTCCAGCCACACTGACCTCCGCGCTGCACAGCAAACAATCCAAATACATTCTCACCTCCAGTCCTTTGCTCTTAACTGTTCCTGCGGCCTGGAATGGTCTTTCAGATTCGGAATGACGACTCTGCCCAACTTTCAGACCTTAACTCAAATCCCACCTTCTCAGTGAGCCCAGCCCTGACTGTCCTGTCCTACTGAACACATTGACCTCTCTATATATGTATGTATGTATATGATTTTATTTTTATTTTTTTCGAGACAGGGTCTTCCTCTGTCGCTCAGACTGGAGTGCAGTGATGCAATCATAGCTCCCTGCAGCCTCCACCTCCTGGGCTTAAGTGATCCTCCTGTCACAACCTCCCACGTAGCTGGGACTACAGATGTGTAGCCTTGTGCCCATACAATTTTTGTGTTTTTAGTAGAGATGGAGTTTTTGCCATGTTACCCAGGCTGGTCTCCACCTCCTGGGCTCACGTGAGCTACCCGCCTCAGCCTCCCAACGTGTTGGAATTTCAGACATGAGCCAGTCTATTCATTTTTCCCCAGGGAACATCAGTGATCCAACGGTTAGAAAATATATATATATATATATATATTTTTTTTTTTTTTTTTTGAGATGGAGTTTCGCTCTTGTTACCCAGGCTGGAGTGCAATGGCACGATCTCGGCTCACCGCAACCTCCGCCTCCTGGGTTCAGGCAATTCTCCTGCCTCAGCCTCCTGAGTAGCTGGGATTACAGGCACACGCCACCAGGCCCAGCTGATTTTTTGTATTTTTAGTAGAGACGGGGTTTCACCATGTTGACCAGGATGGTCTCAATCTCTTGACCTCGTGATCCACCCGCCTCGGCCTCCCACAGTGCTGGGATTACAGGCTTGAGCCACTGCACCTGGCCTTAGAATATATTTTTTAAGTGGATGGATTAAGCCCTTTGTTGATAATTGTTGAAACTGGGTCATTGGTTACAACGTGATAACTATACAATTCTCTGTACATTTGTCTATGTATGGAAAGCCTGTAATAAAGAATGTCGGGTGGCACAGTGATCTCCAGGAGGGGCAAAGAACCAGCATTGGGGGCTACACAGCCAGTGATGATAGCCCAATGCCCACCCCAGACACAACCTAGTGAAGAAGCCTCTGTCTCAATGACTAGGTACAGACACTGCAGTTGATGCTACAGGATTACTGTGGCTGGACACCAGATGTGCAACCACCTATAAATTTCCTGAGTGTGGCTTCAGTTTTGACATACACTGTTCTTATTTTCATGAATTTCTGTAGCATGGATGTAGCTGCCAACAACCCCTGTCCCTAGTGGATTCTAGCCCAAGGGACTGTTTCTCCTTATCACTGGCTTTGATCCAAGTTGTGATTGGCAGAACCTGAGCCTTGTGGAGACTGACTGCGGGGCAGGCTGGGAAAGTAACTGTCAATTATAACTCCTATAGAAAGGCAGGCTTAGCCTGAACAGATATGACATTTCCCTCAAAGCAGGGGAATACTAGGGGGATCAGGTGTTAGGTTGCCAAGAAAAGCAGGGGCTATACTAGCTTCAGAACAGCAAATCCAGGCATCCCCTAATCCAATTAGCCATTCATCCAATCGTGGTGACTGCATTCTAAAACCCAGAGGATTCCCTCCAACACTCCGGAAGCTTCAGATAACCAAGAATTGCAGTCAGGTCAGAGCTCCAAGAGAAGGTCGCCCAGAAAGGAAAGAGACTCACATTGGATTAGATAATGAAATGCTGTTTTTGGAACCTAAACCACTGAGAGTCAACATTGGCTGCACACAGAAATCCCCTGAGGCTTAAAAAAACAAAACAGGGCCGGGCGCGGTGGCTCACGCCTGTAATCCCAGCACTTTGGGAGGCCGAGGCGGGTGGATCACGAGGTCAAGAGATCGAGACCATCCTGGTCAACATAGTGAAACCCCGTCTCTACTAAAAAATACAAAAAAATCAGCTGGGCATGGTGGCGCGTGCGTGTGCGTGTAATCCCAGCTACTCAGGAGGCTGAGGCAGGAGAATTGCCTGAACCCAGAAGGCGGAGGTTGCGGTGAGCCGAGATCGCGCCATTGCACTCCAGCCTGGGCAATAAGAGCGAAACTCCATCTCAAAAAAAAAAAAAAAACAATACTGATGACTGAGTCTCATCCCCATAGTTTTTTTTTTTGTCTTTTTATTTATTTATATTTTTTTTATTTCCCATAGATTTCTTTTTAAGAGGTGATCACCCGGGCACAGTGGCTCATGCCTGTAATCCCAGCAATTTGGGAGGCCAAGGTGGGTGGATCATCTGAGGTCAGGAGTTTGAGACCAGGCTGGCCAGCATGGTGAAACCCTGTTTCTACTAAAAACACAAAGAATTAGCTGGGCATGGTGGCAGGCTCCTGTAATCCCAGCTATTTGGGAGGCTGAGGCAGGAGAATTGCTTGAACCTGGGAGGCAGTGGTTGCAGTGAGCTGAGACCTGGCCACTACACTCCAGCCTGGGCAAGAGAGTGAGACTCTATCTATCTCAAAAAAAAGAGAGAGAGAGAGAGAGAGAGAAAGAAAGAAAAGAAAAAGAATGAATGTTGTAGACAAAGGCAGGTGCAAAGGCCCAGAGGCTGCCTTGCTGGTGGACAGGGGTGTTTTCCAGGTGTGGCCTTACTAAGGATGCCCCACCCTCTGGGAAACTGGCATTCCTAGCCTTTCTTACAGGTTAGGAGGCTTAAGGCTCCCAGAAACACCTTCGTGGCCAGAATAGCCCAGTTTAAGGCAATTGCAATCTGAGAGGACATCTTCTAGGACAACAGCACTCTCTACTGGCCGGTTCCAGTTGTAATGATAAGAATTACTATGTAACAAAAGAAAAAAAAGAATAAACAAAAAAGAAAAAAAAGGAATTACTACGTAACATCATAAATTATTATTATTATTATTTTTTTTTTGAGACGGAGTTTCGCTCTTGTTACCCAGGCTGGAGTGCAATGGCGCGATTTCGGCTCACCGCAACCTCCGCCTCCTGGGTTCAGGCAATTCTCCTGCCTCAGCCTCCTGAATAGCTGGGATTACAGGCACACGCCACCATGCCCAGCTAATTTTTTGTAGCTTTAGTAGAGACGGGGTTTCACCGTGTTGACCAGGATGGTCTCGATCTCTTGACCTCGTGATCCACCCGCCTCGGCCTCCCAAAGTGCTGGGATTACAGGCTTGAGCCACCGCGCCCGGCCTTAAATTATTATTCTTTTTCGGAGGTTTGGGTCTCACTAGGTTGCCCGGCGTGGAGTACCTTAGCCGGATCATAGCTCATTACAGCCTTCAACTCTGCAGCTCAAGTGATCTTTCTGCCTCACAGCTTCTCCAGTAGCTAAGACTATACAGATGCATGCCACCACACCCTGTCAATTTTTTAATTTTTTTTTTTAAGACGGAGTCTTCCTCTGTTATCCAGGCTGCAGTGCAGTGGCATGATCTCGACTCACTGCAACTTCTGCCTCCCAGGTTCAAGCAATTCTCCTGCCTCAGCCTCACGAGTAGCTGAGATTCCAGGCACCCACTACCATGCCTGGCTAAGTTTTGTATTTTTAGTAGAGATGGGGGTTTCATCATGTTGGCCAGGCTGGTCTTGAACTCCTGACCTCATGATCTGCCTGCCTCAGCCTCCCAAAGTGCTGGGATTATAGGCGTGAGCCACCGTGTCTGGCCTCGGCTCACTGCAAACTCTGCCTCCCGGGTTCAAGCAATTCTCTTGCCTCAGCCTCCCAAGTAGCTGGGACTACAGACAGGCACCACCATGCCTGGCGAATTTTTTTTTTTTTTTTAAGATGGAGTCTTGCTCTGCCGCCCTGGCTAGGGTTCAGTGGCTTGATCTCGGCTCACTGCAACTTCTGCTTCCCGGGTTCAAGTGATTATCCTGCCTCAGCCTCTTGAGTAGCTGGGATTACAGGTGTGTGCCACCATGCCCAGCTAATTTTTTGTATTTTCAGTAGAGACGGGGTTTCCCCATATTGGTCAAGCTGGTCTTGAACTCCTGACCTTGTGATCTGCCTGCCTTAGCCTCCCAAAGTGTTGGGATTACAAGCGTGAGCCACCACGCCCCACCTAATTTTTGTATTTTTAAAGACAGGGTTTCACCGTGTTGGTCAGGCTGGTCTTGAACTCCCGACCTCAGGTGATCCGCCCACCTTGGCCTCCAAATTGCTTGGATTACAGGCATGAGCCACCACGCCCGGCCTAATTTTTGTATTTTTAATAGAGAGAGGGTTTCACCAAATTGTCCAGGCTGGTCTCGAACTCCTGACCTCAAGTGATCCACCCACCTCAGCCTCCCAAAGTGCTGGGATTACAGGCATGAGCCACTGCGCCTGGCCAATGTTTTAAACTTTTTCTACCGACAGGGTTTTGCTATCAGTCTCCTGGCCTTAAGTGAAATTCCTGCCTTGGCCTCTCAAAGTGCTGGGATACAGGTTTGAGCCACTGCACCTGCCAGGGTTTACATAGTTATATATCACATTAGGTTTTGTTTTGTTTTTGAAACAAGGTGTCACTCTGTCACCCAGGCTGGAATGCAGTGGCAATATTACAGCTCACTGCAGCCTAATCAGCCTCAAACTTCCAGGCCTAAGTGATCCTCCAGTCTCAGCCTCCCAAGTAGCTGGGACTACAGGTTCGCATCACTACACTGGGCTAATATTTTGTTACTTTTGTAGAGACAAGATCTCACCGTGTTGCCCAGGGTGGTCTCAAACTTCTCGCCTCAAATGACCCACCCTCCTAGGCCTCCCAAAATGCTACAATTACAGGCAAGAACCACTGTGCCAGGCTTTGTTGTTGTTATTATTATTATTATTATTATTATTTTTTTTTGAGATGGAGTTTCACTCATGTTACCCAGGCTGGAGTGCAATGGCGCGATCTCGGCTCACCGCAACCTCCGCCTCCTGGGTTCAGGCAATTCTCCTGCCTCAGCCTCCTGAGTAGCTGGGATTACAGGCACGCACCACCATGCCCAGCTAATTTTTTGTATTTTTGGTAGAGACGGGGTTTCACCATGTTGACCAGGATGGTCTCGATCTCTTGACCTCGTGATCCACCCGCCTCGGCCTCCCAAAGTGCTGGGATTACAGGCGTGAGCCACCACGCCCGGCCGCTTTGTTATTATTATAAATGGAACACAACTGGCACTCAATATATCTGTGACCCTTCCTCCCCTTGCTTGGATACTAGTCGGGTATGTATATATAGATGTACACTGAATGAATGAAGGAATAACTGTGGCCAGATTGTGAGCCTTAGCCTTTTCTATAAATCCAGGATTCCTTAATTTAACTTTTTTATTTTTTGAGACGAGGTCTCACTGTGTCTCTCAGGCTGCAGTGCACTGGATCACAGCTCACTGTAGGCTCTGTCTGTTGGGCTCACATGGTCCCTTCGCTTCACCCTTCCAAGTAGCTGGGATTACAGGAAGCGCCAGCGCGCCCAGCTAAATTTTGATTTTTTGTTTTGTTTGTAGAGACGAAGTCTCATTATGTTGCCCAGGCTGGTCTCCAACTCCTGGGCTCAACTGATTTACCGCCTTGGCCTCCCAAATAGATGGGATTTACAGGCGAGAGTCACCGCGCCCAGCCTCCCTCTTTGAATAAACTAATGCTAACGGAGCACTTACTATGTGCCAGGTCCTGTACTGATCTCTTGGTACAAAGCAATGAACAAGATGCAACAAAAGCGCCATCAATAGCTCACTGCAACTTGGGCCAACCACTGTGTAAAGATCTATACAATATCCTGATTCAATATTTACAACGTCTTTATGCTGAGATGCTGTAATTCGTCACATTTTACGCAAGTTAAAATTATGGCTAAAAGAGTCTCTGATTGTAGCTCGAAAGCGCTAAGGATGGGATTCGTTCCCAGCTCAACTTTGATTCTTCGCTTTAGTGTGCTGCGAGTAGGAGTTAAGTGGGCACCCAGCCAGGACCAGCGGTTCAAATCCGTTGCCATGGTCCCCCGACGCTTTCCCGGGCTCCAGAAAGCATCGCGCGGTCACGTGACAGCAGCCAACATGGCGCCGCCCACTGTGTGGTACTGCCCACGTGGTTCCGGCAGTCAAGATGGCGGGAGCGGCCACCCAGGTTTCTGTGGAGTCGGCCCCAAGGATCATGAGGCTGGTGGCCGAATGCAGCCGCTCCAGGGCCCGCGCAGGAGAGCTGCGGCTGCCGCATGGGACAGTGGCCACTCCTGTGTTCATGCCAGTGGGCACGCAGGCCACCATGAAGGGCATCACGACCGAGCAGCTGGACGCTCTGGGTTGCCGCATCTGTCTGGGCAATACCTACCATCTGGGTCTAAGGCCGGTGGGTGGGGTCTGCGACTAGAGGGGAAGCAGCGAGGCCTGGGGAGCCATGGAACGCCCCCCAGACTCGGACACTCCTCCCAAAGTCAATCGATCAGCCGTATTGAGCGTCCCCCATGACTGGGCCTTGGGATGGGCGTGAAAGCAGCAGGGACTAAAACTGGCCAGCTCTGTCCCCCAAGAAGAGCCCCCAGGAACGCGTTCACCCCTAATCTGACACTTTATCCCATCAACCCAGGGACCCGAGCTGATCCAGAAAGCCAACGGTCTCCACGGCTTCATGAATTGGCCTCATAATCTGCTAACGGTGAGCTGAGGAGAGAACCGGCGTTCCAGAGTACTTCTCTGGAGTGAGGGGTCCCCCATCTCCACCCGCTGACAGCCTTGCGGTGGGGTTTCCCTTAGGACAGCGGCGGTTTCCAGATGGTGTCGCTGGTGTCTCTGTCCGAGGTGACGGAGGAAGGCGTCCGCTTCCGCTCCCCCTACGACGGCAATGAGACCCTGCTGAGCCCGGAGAAATCCGTGCAGATCCAGAACGCGCTGGGTGAGAGGACCCCGGGGAGCCTCCCCTTACTCTGTCTGTCAGGGGGTGGAGGTGACACAGGTCCTGTTCTTTGGGTGTTGTGTGGTTTTGAGCAGGTCACTCCTCCCTGAGCTTCAGTTGAGCCAACTCAAAGCAGGGATACATAATAGCAGGTCTTTGGTAGGATTGTTGACAACTGCTTATAAAATGATGTCAGTGAATCTCCACCCTGGCCATGTAGTAGCTTAAGTATTATTACTGCAATTTTTATTTTATTTATTTATTTATTTATTTTTGAGATGGGGTCTCTCTCCATTGCCCAGGCTGGAGTGCAGTGGTACATCTCAGCTCACTGGAACCTCCACCTTCTGGGTTCAAGCCATTCTCCTGCCTCAGCTTCCCAAGTAGCTGGGATTACAGGCTCCCACCACCACGCCTGGCTAACTTTTTATATTTTTAGTAGAGACGAGGTTTAATCCTGTTGGTCAGGCTGGTCTCGAACTCCTGACTTCAGGTGATCTACCTGTCTCTGCCTTCGAAAGTGCTCGGGTTATAGGCGTGAGCCACCGTGGGTGGCCTAATATCCCCATTTCTTGACAAAGAGAATTAACATTTTCTGAACCTTTTAAAGAACCATGGATACACAGGGTCAACACCCCTCTTCCCCTCATCATCCTAATAGATTGACACTGTAGGGTGGAAGAAATATATATTTTTTTGTTATCTTAGATTTATGGCTGAAGTCCCTATAACAAAGGAGCACCTGTAACAAAAAAACCTCAATAACAGGAGAAAAGGCTACAGATTAATTTGACTATTTATTACTGCAATTTTTTACTGATTTTAGAGCCCTGACCTTACTTCTGTAAGACTTTGTTTGTTTGTTTGTTTATTTTTGTGATGGAGTCTTGCTCTGTTGCCCAGGCTGGGGTGCAGTGGCATGATCTTGGCTCAATGCAACTTCCACCTCCTGGGTTCAAGCGATTCTCATGCCTCAGCCTCCCGAGTAATTGGGATTACAGGTAGACACCACCACGCCTGGCTAGTTTTTTTTTTTTTTTTCTTTGAGACGGAGTTTCACTCTTTTTACCCAGGCTGGAGTGCAATGGCGCGATCTCGGCTCACCGCAACCTCCACCTCCTGGGTTCAGGCAATTCTCCTGCCTCAGCCTCCTGAGTAGCTGGGATTACAGGCATGCGCCACCATGCCCAGCTGATTTTTTTGTATTTTTAGTAGAGACGGGGTTTCACCATGTTGACCAGGATGGTCTCGATCTCTTGACCTCGTGATCCGCCCGCCTCAGCTTCCCAAAGTGCTGGGATTACAGGCGTGAGCCACCGCGCCCGGCCTCTGGCTAGTTTTTTATATTTTTAGTAGAGATGGGGTTTTGCGTGTTGGCCAGGCTGGTCTCAAACTCCCGACCTCATGTGATCTGGCTGCCTTGGCCTCCTAAAATGCTGGGAATACAGGTGTGAGCCACTGCACCTGGCCCAAGTTTATTTAATATTTGTTTTATGTGACACAGGAGTCTTTAGAAATGAAGACCCAAAGATGCAGGAAGACCCATATATATAGGGGTTTTTTTTTTTTTTTTTTTTTTTTGAGACGGAGTTTCGCTCTTGTTACCCAGGCTGGAGTGCAATGGCGCGATCTCGGCTCACCGCAACCTCCGTCTCCTGGGTTCAGGCAATTCTCCTGCCTCAGCCTCCCGAGTAGCTGGGATTACAGGCACGCGCCACCATGCCCAGCTAATTTTTTGTATTTTTAGTAGAGACGGGGTTTCACCATGTTGACCAGGATGGTCTTGATCTCTTGACCTCGTGATCCACCCGCCTCGGCCTCCCAAAGTGCTGGGATTACAGGCTTGAGCCACCGCACCCAGCCTATATAGGGTTTTTTTTTTGTTGTTTGTTTTGTTGTTTTTTTTTTGAGACAGGGTCTTACTCTGTCACCCAGGCTGGAGTGGAATGGTGTGATCTTGCCTCACTGCTACCACTGTCTCCAGTGTTCAAGAAATTTTCCTGTCTCAGCCTTCCAAGTTGCTGGGATTATAGGTGATGCGTGCCACCATGCCCGGCTAATTTTTAATAAAGATGGGGTTTCACCATGTTGGGCAGGCTGGTCTAGAACTCCTGGCCTCAAGTGATCTGCCACCCTCTGCCTCCCACAGTGCTGGGATTACAGGCGTAAGCCACTGCACCCAGCCTGTTTGTTTTTGTTTTTGTACATAGGATCTGTGTGTCACCCAGGCTGGAGTGTAATGATGTGATCTCAGCTCACTGCAGCCTTGACGTCCTGGACTCAAGTGATTCTCCCACTTCAACCTCCAGAGTACCTGGGACTACAGGTGCACAGCACCACTCCCAGCTAATTTTTAAAAGATTTTGTAGAGATGAGGGTCTCACTATGTTACCTAGTCTAGTCTTGAACTCCTGGCTTCAAGCGATCCTTTGCCCTGACCACTCAAAGTGCTCGTATTACAAGCATGAGGCTGGGCATGGTGGCTCACACCTATAATCCCAGCACTTTGGGAGGCCAAGGCAGGCAGATCACAGGGTCAAAAGATCGAGACCACCCTGTCCAACGTGGTGAAACCCCGTCTCTACTAAAATACAAAAATTAGCTGGGTATGGTGATGCGTGCCTATAGTCCCAGCTACTCGGGAGGCTGAGGCAGGGGGATCGCTTGAACCTGGGAGGTGGAGGTTGCGGTTGCAGTGAGCCAAGATTGTGCCACTGCACTCTAGCCTGTCGACAGAGTGAGACTTTGTCGCAAAAAAAAAAAAAAAAAAAAAAAAGAGTTTGAGACCAGCCTGGGCAACATGATTAGACCCCATCTCTACAAAATTAAAACAATTAGCTAGGCATGATGGCAGGCAGCCATAGTCCAGCTACTCCAGAGTCTAAGACTAGGGGACTGCTTGAGACCCAGGAGTTGCAGGTTACATTGAGCTATGATTCCCCACTACAGTCCTTTCTGGGTGACAGAGCAAGGCCCTGTCTCTTTAAAAAAAAGAAAGTATATCTATTTCTCTTCTTATCTTCTTGATTTCATAAGATCTGCAGTGATATCTCATGGGCTTTTTTTCTTTTTCCGGAGACAAGGTGTCATTCTGTCAACCAGGCTGGTTGGTACAGTGGTATGAACTCACTCACTGCCACTTTTGCCTCTGGGCTTAAGTGAGTGTCCTACCTCAGCCTCCCAAGTAGCTGCAACTACAAGTGTAAACCACCACGCCTGGCTAATTTTTGTATTTTTTTTGAAGAGAAGGAATTTTGCCATGTTGCCCAGGCTGGTCTTGAACTCCTGGCCTCAAGTGATCTGCCTACCTTAGCTTCAAAGTGCTAGGATTACAGGCATCAGCCACTGCACCCATCCTTTGGTTGATTTCATAATCTTAGATCATCTGTAGTATATTGCAGCAAATCCCCTATCTCTAAAACATAAGAGTTGTTTTTTTTTAATAAAAAACACAGCCATAGAGGCCGGGTGTGGTGGCTCACGCCTTTAATCCCAGCACTTTGGGAGGCCGAGCAGGTGGATCACAAGTTCAGGAGATCGAGACCATCCTGGCCAACATGATGAAATCCTCTCTCTATTAAAAAAAAAAAAAAAGGCCGGGCGCGGTGGCTCAAGCCTGTAATCCCAGCACTTTGGGAGGCCGAGGCAGGTGGATCACGAGGTCAAGAGATCGAGACCATCCTGGTCAACATGGTGAAACCCGTCTCTACTAAAAATACAAAAAATTAGCTGGGCATGGTGGCACGTGCCTGTAATCCCAGCTACTCAGGAGGCTGAGGCAGGAGAATTGCCTGAACCCAGAAGGCGGAGGTTGCGGTGAGCCGAGATCGCGCCATTGCACTCCAGCCTGGGTAACATGAGTGAAACTCCGTCTCAAAAAAGAAAAAAAAAAAAAAAAAAATATATATATATATGTATATATATATCACCACAATACTATCACCCCATCTAAAAACAGTTGACAGTAATTCATTAACATCTTCAAATATCTGGCCAGTGTTCAAAGCTCCAGTTATTTATTAATTTTTTTGAGATGGAGTGAGTCTTGCTCTGTTGCCCAGGCTGGTGTGCAGTGATGCGATCTCGGCTCACTGCAACCTCCTTCTGGGTTCAAGCAATTCTCCTGTCTCAGCCTCCCAAGTAGCTGGGATTACAGGCGCCTGCCACCACGCCAGGCTCATCTCAAACTCCTGACCTCAGATGATCTGCCCGCTTCGGCCTCCCAAATTCTGGGATTACAGGTATGAACCGCCACGCCTGGCCAGCTGAGCCCTACTGATGGAAGTTTGGTTTCCCAATCTTACTGTGGCACACCACGCACTAAGGAATCCCTTTGTACATTTTAGGATTTTTATTCTGTGTAACACCATAAGATTTTAAGCTGAGGAGAGGCAGGATCAAAGGCACATTTTGTAGAGCTACTTCTGGCTGCTGCATAAACAGATTGGGACAGCTATGTGGGAGGTAGCAAGACGGGGGATGGGGGGTGCTCTTGGGGAAGCCTCACTTGTCCCCATGTGACAGGAGGCTGTCTTCAAGCACTGGGGGCTTTCCCAGTGATGCTGCCCCTGTCTCACTGTCAGGCTCAGATATCATCATGCAGTTGGATGACGTGGTCAGCAGCACCGTGACCGGGCCACGCGTGGAGGAGGCCATGTACAGGTGTGTGCATGCTCTGTATATATGTGGGGCATGTGGGGGGTGGGGATCCTGGTTCCGTAGCCTTGTCTCCCATCGCCTCACAAGTCTCCTGAGGCTTGTGCCTTGGGCCCCCTTGCAGGTCAATCCGTTGGCTAGACCGGTGCATTGCAGCCCATCAGCGGCCGGACAAGCAGAACCTCTTCGCCATTATCCAGGGGGGGCTGGATGCAGATCTCCGGGCCACCTGCCTTGAAGGTAGAGCCGGGCACTGGCAGGCCCAGGGCCTGACCATTGCGGAGGTCTCCACATGGGCCTGGCACATGGCAGCACTCGATTGCTAATGGGTGGAAGGGCACAGCGGTGGAAAAAACAGCCGTAGCAAAGGTTCTCAGGCCATGTGCAGTAGACTGTATTGAGAGAATGGCCATAATTCCAGTAGCTCATGGTCTTCTAGTATTCTTTCTTGAAACGGAGTTGCACTGCGGAGCCCAGGCTGAAGTACACTGGCGCTATCTCTGCTTACTGCAACCTCCACCTCCCGGGTTTAAGCGATTCTCCTGTCTCGCCTTCTAAGTAGCTGGAATTACAGGTACCCGCCATCATGCCTGGCTAATTTTTGTATTTTTCGTGGAGACGGGGTTTCACCATGTTGGCCAGGGTGATGAACTCCTGACCTCAGGTCTTGAATTCCTGACCTCAGGTGATCCGCCTGCCTTGGCCTCCCAAAGTGCTGGGATTACAGATGTGAGCCACCGCACCCAGCCAGCTCATTTCATGGCTAATGTGGATCTCTCATTTTTATCCCAGTTGTTGTAAGTCTTCACTTTATATTTTTTAAATTTTACTTTGACTGGGCATACAGGCCAAGGCCGGCAGATCACATGAGATCAGGAGTTTGAGACCAGCCTGCCCATCATGGAGAAACCCTGTGTCTACTAAAAATAAAAAAAATCAGTTGGGCACCTGTAATCCCAGCTACTCCGGAGGCTGAGGCAGGAGAAGCGCTTGAACCTGGAAAGCGGAGGTTGCAGTGAGCTGAGACTGTGCCATTGCACTCCAGCCTGGATGACAGGAGTGAAACTCCATCTCAAAAAAAAAAAATGTTTACTTTAAGTTCTGGGACACATGTGCAGAATGTGCAGGTTTCCTACATAGGTTATACATTTGCCATAGTGGTTTGCTGCAGCTGCCAACCTGTCATCTAGGTTTTAAGCCCCACATGCATTAGGTGTTTGTCCTAATGCTCTTGCTACCCTTGCTCCTTACCCCCAGAAGTCTTCACATATTTTGTGGCCGAAATGTTACAGTGTTTGATGACAGGCTATTGGGTGTTTTTTGAGAGAGAATCTTGCTCTGTTCCCCAGGCTGGATTGCAGTGGCGTGATCTTGGCTCACTGCAACCTCCACCTCCCAGGTTCAAGAGATTCTCCTGGCCGGGTGTGGTGACTCAACGCCTATAGTCCCAGCACTCTGGGAGGCCGAGGCGGGCGGTTCATGAGGTCAAGAGATTGAGACCATCCTGACCAACATGGTGAAACCCTGTCTCTACTAAAATATAGAAATTAGCTGGGTGTGGTGGCACGTGCCTGTGGTCCCAGCTACTCGGGAGTCTGAGGCAGGAGAGTTGCTTGAACCCGGGAAGCAGAGGTTGCAGTGAGCCGAGATTGTACCACTGCACTCCAGCTTGGCGCCTGGCGACAAAGCAAGATTCTGTCTCAAAAAAAAAAAAAAAAAAAGATTCTCCTGCCTCAGCCACTGAGTAGCTGGGACCACAGGCGTGCACCCAAGCCTGGCTACTTTTTGTATTTTTAGTAGAGACAGGGTTTCACCATGTTGGCCAGACTGGTCTTGAACGCCAGACTTCAAGTGATCTGCTTGCCTTGGCCTCCCAAAGTGCTGGGATTACAGGTGTGAGCCACCACGCCTTACCTGACAGGCTGTTGTAACAACATATGGGATGTTTACTGTTCTCAAATCTGGAAAATTCCAATTTCTGAAACACATCTGGCTCCAACAGTTTCAGCTTAAGGACTGTGGGCTGTGCCTCTTCTGAGGATTGAAGGAAACGGTCTTGCATACAGCACGCACTCAGTAAATGTTTGCTGAGATCAGCAGCAGCACCAGCCCCTAGACAGACAGACTGATAGACCCTCTCCTCTGTCTCCCTGTCCCTCTCCCTCTCCATCTCTGCCTTTGTTTTTTATTTATTTATTTTTTGAAAAGGAGTTTCATTCTTGTCACTCACGCTGGAGTGCAGTGGCGATCTTGGCTCACTGCAACCTCCGCCTCCAGGGTTCAAGCGATTCTCCTGCTTCAGCCTCTGGAGTAGCTGGGATTACAGACATGTGCCACCACACCCGGCTAATTTTTGTATTTTTAGTAGAGACGGGGTTTCACTGTGTTGGCCGGGCTGGTCTTGAACTCCCGACCTCAGGTGATTACCTGACTTGGCCTCCCAAAGTGCTGGGATTACAGGTGTGAGGCACCACGCCCAGCCCATCTCTGTCTTTGTCTCTCTGTCTCTGTGTGTTTCTCTGTCTCTCTCCCTGAGGGACTCTGGAAGTCTAGGCAGGGTCTGTTCTGGGATTGAAGAGCAGCTGCATTTCCTCTTCTGTGATTGCCCTCACCTTACCCTGTACCCTCAGAGATGACCAAGCGGGACGTGCCTGGCTTTGCCATCGGTGGCCTGAGCGGGGGTGAGAGCAAGGCACAGTTCTGGCGGATGGTGGCGTTGAGCACCTCTCGGCTGCCTAAGGACAAGCCCAGATATCTGATGGGGGTTGGGTATGTTGTGGATAGGGGAGCCAGAGCCCTACCCGTGGGGAGTGGATTCCTGGGGACCCCCTGCCCTGCTTGGGGGGTGGCATTTGGGGGAAACGGACACAGCTCTGATCTGGGGGAACTAGGAGGACGTGGCTGTCCCTTTAAGGCTGTTCTGAGGGAATATGGCCCAGTTGGGACCATGTGAGGGGTGGGAGGGGCCCTGGGAAGCCCCTGAGGTTCTCTGCCCCCCTCCCCCCATGGCTGCAACCCCAGCTATGCCACGGATCTGGTGGTCTGCGTGGCTCTTGGATGTGACATGTTCGACTGTGTCTTCCCTACACGGACAGCGGTGAGGCTCTGGCAGAAGGTGGTCAGGGCGGGAGACGGGTGGGGGACTAGGAGGCAAGCTCGAGGGTGGGAGGGCCCGGGAGAATGAAGCTCTGTGTGACACCGCCCCTTCCCTCACACTTTCTCTCCCGTAGCGCTTTGGCTCTGCCCTGGTGCCCACCGGGAACCTGCAGTTGAGGAAGAAGGTGTTCGAGAAGGACTTCGGCCCCATAGACCCGGAGTGCACCTGCCCCACGTGCCAGAAGTAGGCAGGATGGGGAGCTGGGGCGGGGCGCGGAGGGGACGGGGCGGCTGTGCTGAGCTGTCCCCTGACGCTCTACAGTCACAGCCGCGCCTTCCTGCACGCACTCCTGCACAGCGACAACACCGCCGCGCTGCACCACCTCACGGTGCACAACATCGCTTACCAGGTGAGCCAGCGCCCGGGGCAGAGCTGGCGGGGGTGTGTCCCAGGCGCCCACGCCCCACGCTGACCTCCCCTCCCCGCAGCTGCAGCTCATGAGCGCAGTCCGCACCAGCATTGTGGAGAAGCGCTTCCCGGACTTCGTGCGGGACTTCATGGGCACCATGTACGGGGACCCCACCCTCTGTCCCACCTGGGCCACTGACGCCCTGGCTTCCGTGGGAATCACACTGGGCTGACCTGGCATTGGGGGAGGGAGGTGTTAGAAGATACTGAAAGCTTTCTTTTTGGAAGTTTGTTTTTTTTTTTAATTGTGACTTACAGAGTGTGTCTGTGTCTTCTTGGCCTGTCTGGGTCCCCCTCCCGTCTGAGCGTCACTGTGGTTGAATATCTCCCCTTCTGACCAATCATAACACATCACGATGGCAGCAGCTGATAGCTGGAAATCACCCGCCAGTGCCCATCGTGTAGGGGGTGCCCCAGAGTGGGAGCAGCAGCCTGGTTCCTGGGGCCCAGACCCCTCAGACACCATGGAGGCCTCTCTATTTTCACAGCTGAGGAAACAGGCCCAGGGAAGGGCGGTAACTTTCCCAAGGTGATCACCATCAAATAAATGGTATCTTGGCCAGGTGCTGGGATTATGGTAGCTCACACCTATAATCCCAGCACTTTGGGAGGCTGAGGCGGACGATCATGAGATCAAGAGATCAAGACCATCCTGGCCAACGAGGTGAACCTTGTCTCTACTAAAAAAATACAAAAATTAGCTGGGGGTGGTGGCGCACCTGTAGTCCCAGCTACTTGGGAGGCTGAGGCAGGAGAATCGCTTCAACCTGGGAGGTGGAGATTGCAGTGGGCCTAGATTGTGCCACTGCACTCTAGCCTGGTGACAGAGGGAGACTCCGTCTCAAAAAAAAAAAGGAAAAGAAAAGATATGGTATCTTGGCTTTAAGGCTTATACTTCTCATAGTCTGACTCTTAAGAGAGATGAGGCTTAACCTTTTTTTTTTCTTTTTTGAGACAGTCTCTCTTGCCACCCAGGCTGGAGTGCAGTGGTGCGATCTCAGCTCACTGCAACCTCCGCCTTCTGGGTTCAAGCAATTCTAATGCTTTAGCTACCCAAGTAGCTGGAACTACAGGCATGTGCCACAACGCCTGGCTAAGTTTTGTAATTTTAGTAGAGACAGGGTTTCACCATGTTGGCCAGGCTGGTCTCAAACTCCTGACCTTAGGTGATCCACCTGCCTCAGCCTCCCAAAGTGCTGGGATTACAGGTGTGACCCACTGAGCCCAGCCCTTTTTTTTTTTTTTTTTTTTTCCTGAGACTAGTGATTGTCACCAGCCTGGGGAACATGGCAAAACTCCCATCTTTTCAAAAAAATACAGATGATGTGCATCTGTGCTCCCAGCTACTGAGGAGGCTGAGGTGGGAGGATCGCTTGAGCCCACAAGGTTGAGGCTGCAATGAGCCGAGATTGAACCATTGCACTCCAGGCTGGGCATTGGAGTGAGACTCTGTCTCAAAAACAAAAATGGCCGGGTGTGGTGGCACACGCCTATAATTCCCGCATGTTGGGAGGCTGGGGTGGGTGGATCACCTGAGGTCAGGAGTTCCAGACCAGCCTGACTGACATGGTAAAATCCCCTCTCTGCTAAAAATGCAAAAATTAGCCGGGTGTGGTAGTGCACACCTGTAATCCCAGCTACTCAGGAGGCTGAGGCAGGAGAATCGCCTGAACCTGGGAGGCAAAAGTTACAGTGAGCTGAGATCACGCCATCGCACTCCAGGCTGGGCAACAAGAAACTTGGTCTCGAAAAACAAAAAAATAGGCCGGGCACAGTGGCTCAAGCCTGTAATCCCAGCACTTTGGGAGGCCGAGGAGGGCAGATCGCCTGTGGTCAGAAGTTCGAGACCACCTTGACCAACATGGTGAAACCCTGTCACTACCAGAAATACAAAAATTAGCCAGGCGTGCTGTTGCGTGCCTGTAATCCCTCAGCTACTCAGGAGGTTGAGGCAGGAGAATTGCTTTAACCCAGGAGGTGGAGGTTGCAGTGAGCCGAGATCATGCTGCTGCACTCTGGCCTGGACAACAGAGCAAGACTCCATCTGAAAACAAACAAAAAAAATAAAAATAGTTAGCTGGGCATAGTTGCACACACCTGTGGTTCCAGCTACTCCGGAGGCTGAGGCGGAAGGATCGTTTGAGCACAGATGAATTGAGCTATGAGTGCACCATTTCACTCCAGCCCAGATGACAGAGTGAGACCCAGTCTCCAAGAAAAGACGATTCATTGGCTGGTCACGGTGGCCCACGCCTGTAGTCCCAGCACTTTGGGAGGCCGAGATGGGCGGATCACTTGAGGCTAAGAGTTCCAGACCAGCCTGGCCAACATGTTGAAACTTCTGCCTCTACTAAAAATACAAAATTAGCTGGGTGTGGTGGCGCGCACCAGTAATCCCAGCTATTCGGGAGGCTGAGGCAGGAGAATTTCTTGAACCTGAGAGGTGGAGGTTGCAGTGAGCCAAGATCGCGCCACTGCACTTCAGCCTGGGCGACAGAGTGAGACTCTGTCTCACAAAAAAAAAAAAAAAGATTCTTTTTGTGCTAAAGTTGAAGAAGCAGGGGAAAACGCTGGAGTGGCTGACGCCTGTAATCCCAGAACTTTGGGAGGCCGAGGTGGGCGGATCACGAGTTAAAGAGATGACACCATCTTGGCCAACATGGTGAAACCCCGTCTCTATTAAAAATACAAAAATTAGCCAGGCGTGGTGGCACACATCTGCAGTCCCAGCTAGTTGGGAGGCTGAGGCAGAAGGATCGCTTGAACCTGGGAGGCAGAGGTTGCAGTGAGCCGAGATCGCGCCACTGCACTCCAGCCTGGTGACAGAGACTCCGTTTCAGAAGAAAAAAAATTTGGAGTGTTAGCGGCGTCAAGATGGGGCGTGAGCAAAGCAGAAAGGGCACAGCATTTACAAAGGCGTGGAGGCGTGACTTTATTGCGTTCTCTCCCTAGGAAGCATTGGCTTCGCCTCGCCCATCTACAGAGAGCATTGGGACCATGTTCCCAGAGCCGGTTTGAAGGCTTGGCACTGTGATGAGTTCTGGGACTGGTAGTTTTCCCCAGTGACCGGAAACTCAAAATCAGAACATCGGATCTCACCACGAGGTGTCGCCCTTGAGCGAGTACGGTGGGCCCTATCCTGTACTTCAGAAGACTGTTGGAGTTATCCAACAATCACAAGGAAGAACCTGAGTTTTTCTGATTGACACGTATGGTTCTCAATCAGAGTCAAGATTCGGATTTTAAAGCCCGCCCTCTTCTGCCTGGATGGCTGGAGCAACGGAGTGATATTTATATGAACCAATGGAAAATTCTTAGGGAACTAGGTAGTAGCTCAATTCCTGACACCATTGGTCCACACTGTCGACTGGCACCTCTCGCTGCCAGTAAGATGGTGTAACTTTGTCAATGGGCGGAGCCAACGTGCATTTTTCTGAAACACCTCCTTCCTCTCTTGACAACTTGCTTTCTGTCGCTATTGGCTCTTGATCACAGTGAGTGACGGTTCTCTTGTCCAATAAGCCCGCAAGACGGTCCCCAGGGGGAAGGTTTACTCAACCATAGGCCCGTGCCTCGTTTTCATTGGCTTGTGTGCTCGAGTGGCAACGCAGCGGGCCAATCGCGTGCGGAAAGAGTGCTTTGGGCGCAGCCCCGGGGCCGGGGCGGGAGGTCGCTCGGGTCGGGTGTCGCCTGAGAACCGGATGAGGCGGCGACCGTGAGGCCGAGCCGGGAGCGGGCGTCGCGCCGAGGCCCGGGCAGGCGGGGAGCAACGGTACAGACGCCTCGGGGACAGGTCGTTGAGGGTCGTCGGCGGGCAGGGAGCGCAGGGCGCTCGGGCCGGGGGCCGCCGGCGCCATGGGCAACCGCGGGATGGAAGAGCTGATCCCGCTGGTCAACAAGCTGCAGGACGCCTTCAGCTCCATCGGCCAGAGCTGCCACCTGGACCTGCCGCAGATCGCCGTGGTAGGAGGCCAGAGCGCCGGCAAGAGCTCGGTGCTGGAGAACTTCGTGGGCCGGTGAGCGGGAGCGGCGGGGACCGCGGGCGGGCGGCGGCCTAGGGCGCAGAGGGCTGACCGGGAATGGCGCGCCCTGCGCCGCCGGCGTAACTGCGGCGCTTGCGTGCCCGCGGCGGGGACAGGGACGAGGAGGCGGGCCCTGTGGGACGCCCTGGGCGGAGGTCTCCCTGCAGGGTCTGGGGAGCAGGCCGGGGCCCCTGGGGCAGTGTCATGGGTCGGAGGGCCGTAGGACCGGAGGTGCGCTGGATCCCTGAGGTCCATCTGGTCCCAGCTTTCGTGGGTGAACTCTGCCATCTGGTTGCCCGTGCGTCTGGGGTAGATCCCCCTTAGTTCTTTCGGGCTGTCCGTTTATCAGAGGTGAAACCGGCCATCTAGTTATCTATTGGGGCGACCCCTGCCGTCAGGCTGGCTTGTTCTTGTATCTGGAGCTGCCCCCGCTGTCTGGTTGGCTGTCTCTCTGTCCTGGGCAAGCCTCCCTGCCACCACCATTTGGCTGTCCATCTGTCCAGTCCCACCTGGCAGCACCCTGCTGTCTGGCTGGCTGTCCATGGTGACCTCTGCTGTCTGGCCGCCCATCCGTGCCCCTCACAGACTTTAATACTGAGCAATCCCTCTGTTGGGTGACACCAGCTGACCTCCACTATCTGACTGGCTAGTTGGCTCCTAGGGGACCTTGTTGTCTGGTTCTCTCAGGCTGACTCTTATAGCTTGGATCCTGGCTAACGCAGGCTTCTCTCTTCCAAGTGAATTATGTCTGTCTGTCCGTCTTCTAGTGTGCTCATGACTACCCCGAGTGTCTGGCCCAATGCCTCTGTAAGGGGGTGGCGGGAGGGTAGAGGGGAGAACGGAGCTGAAAGATGAGATTTGAACCCCACTTCCCTTCTCAGTTGGAAGGAGGACCCTGGGGGTACCTTACTTCAGGGTTCCTTCCAGGGCACTAGAGCACTGGGGCCCACCTCCTAGCTACAGCCTGCAAATTGGGGGTCCTCCTTTGGAGCCTGGGAAGGGGCTTCTTGCCTGATCGGGCCTCAGCGGCTAGCGCTGGGATGTAGCCTTCTCTGGACAGCCCTGAGAAGTCACGGTGTGCCAGTCTGCCCAGTGGGCAAACGCCACTCTTTGGGCTGTTTCCAGGATCCAGGAAGCAAATGAATGGAACAGCCCCAGCAGCCACCTCTCCCTCCCACCAACCCTCTTGCCTTTCTCGTCTCCCAGATGGATGGCCAGTTCACCATTCCAGGA